CAATATAAATATCTAGTGTTAATGTTAATGGCAAATAAATAAGTAACTTTCCTTTTGAATATTCCAGATGATCGATTTCGTATGAATATGGATATGGAGCAAATGAAGGGCGACTAAATTTTTCCTTTAACGGTTGAATTTTCGGGTCAATTGGTTTATTTAATATCTTGAAATCCTTTTTAAAATCTTTTTGCTTCTTTAATGTTTGAAATGGATATAATAAAGTGAATGATGAAGGATTAACTGAAGGAGGAGGTACTGTCGTTGGAGGTTTTGGTGTTGCAGTGGTTAATTTTATCTGCTTTGATTTTGGATTTCATTCCCCCCTTCATTAATTCTGGATGTATTCTATTCATTTGTTTTAAATATGCTGTATATAAAGGTTTGATATACTTTCCCGCTTCGAGTTTATGTTGAAGGATGAATTCCAAAAGTTGATCTTCATTTAAAAGTCGGGCTGAATATGGTTTAACTAATGAATCATAAATTAAAGCTTGTGCATCATTTATGGTCTGAAGGACATGGGTGTTTTGTGGCTCAGGATTATATAATTTATATAATTCATCAATATCTTCTTCTGTTAATACTTTATTTTTGAAATCTTTCAACTGTTTAAGTTGTGATTTAGTTTTTCCCTTTGAATATTCATTATTTTTAATTTTGTCGTTTAATTTTAGAAATTATTTTATCATGATATTTCAAAATTCATTTTTTATAATATGGATAATAATATTCCATATCATCACCCGTTATATTGTTATCATATTTTTGGAGATATGCTTTTAAATCATAATAATCAAGAAAATTTTGATTAAATACTAAATCATCAATTAAAATTTTTAAATCTGTGTTATCCATTTATATAAAAATAAAATCAATGTTTTAAGGGTGCCCACCTCTTTGTCTCTTCTGTGGCATTTTATTAAAAATAAAATTTTAAATTGTATTAAATAAATGGCATACAACATCCATTTTCACAACATACAGCCTTAGTGTGTGCTCCTGTTAATGCAGTCTTACCAATTGTTAAGCGAGTCATTGACCCGTTTTTAAGTTGTAAATTAATATTCTGACCATCAAATATCAATTTATCATTTATTATATCCAAATATTTTTTAGGTGTTAATTGTTTATTTTGTCGTAAACTAACACCTTTCATTTTTTGTGCAATCTTTTTTAAAATCACTCCCATCAATTGAACCGTTGAATGATGTATAAACACTTAGGACATAAAGCAACCATGTTATCACCTTGTTTCTCAATTGCTAAACCCAATAATTTTTCTCATGTGCTTTTTCTTCAGCTTTATTCTTTAATTTAGGTTTAAATTTCTCATTCAAAACAGAAGAAATCAAATGGGTGCGAATTTGAAAATGTTTTTATCATAAAATTGTTTATCAGTAACAATTGCTTGAAATGCTTGAGTGTTTAGGAAGATTTGGGTCGCCAGCGATTGCCCAATAAGATGAATCAGTATCACCTTCAATGAAATGAAAACGATTAACATTCATGCATTTATACATAAAATCATAAATGAAAACCAAATACCAGTATTTAGCATTATCTAAAGTGAAGAATGCCTCTTGTAAACATGTATCACATCTATAAAATCTATCTTTAAGCATCACTTGATATGTATCTTCACCTATTTCTCTTATGTTTTTAAACTTATTTGACATACATGCAACGCGTGCCTTCTGTGCATTCATTATTTTAGTCTTTGCGTAATTTTGTGTATTCATTGCATCGTAACCATATGATCCATTAAGTGAAATCTTGCAAAATAAACTTTTTCCTTTATTTCCTTCTAATTCAGCCTTTTGTCTTTCGTTCATAAATTGTTCGCAAATTCATTAAAACAAGTGTTTTTAGTAAATGTTAAAATTGATTGAATATCATCAATGATAAAATGAAATCTGTCTATTAGATACCAAAGATAATAAGAAGAAAATGGTTGATATTGGTTGTGTGTTGATGCTAACTGAGTTAATTTCTCTGTTTCTGGTCAACGGTAGATTGTTTGATTTCATGTAATTATACATAAAACTGCCAATTGTTTTTTCATCTGTGATAATATCTAAGTTTCTTATTATCGGTAAAAAGTTTATGTAATCATTAATGTATTTTTCATCAATGTGACCCTTTACTTCAGCCACGAATAAAGTATTTTTCTTCTTAATTATTCCCAGTGCTTTTGCTTTCTTTGTTGCTGTATCACAAATGATAACACCATTCAATCTTCCCGGCATATACATTTTATGGTCAGTATATTGAATGAAATCATGAGGATTAGATGAAAATGATGAAGGATATAATGAATTAAAGTCAACACCAACGAAATGAGTCATAATGTTGGTGGTGTCCTCATTTGATACAGTTTTAGTTTCTGGATTATATGAAAGTTTATTAATGTGCGTGATTCCTTTAAGATTTACTCTATGTTGAACATTTGATAAACCACCAGTAATTCCATTACGGAGAATGTGATAAGCTTCAACTGAATCTAAAGTCATTGGTAAATTATTTTTTAATGCATAATTTCTTAAATTGATTCTTAAACGTTGAACATCTTCATCTTTATTTGATTTTACGACATTGCAATAACAACACATTAACTGACAATTTTCTTTGGTATGTGGTTTTTCATTATCGATTCTATCCAATGTTGGTTTATTTGCATATGTAAACGCTTTACCACACATTTTGCATTTAGATGAAAGGATTAAATCGTGATAGTATTGAAAATCATCCATTGAAACATTATTTTTAGTATCCCTTTCTGCTTTTTCATCTTGTTTCTTATATGATTCAATTTTATATTTCCAATACTTTTTCGTTAATTCAAAACTTGATTCTATCTCTTCCTCAGGATATTTTCATTAGGATTAAAGTCTTTATATGCTAAAGCGTAACGAATCATTGAAGCATTCGATGATAAAGAAAGATTATGAAGCATGTCAATTTTATAAACAAATGTTTCTTCAATAATTTTATCAATTGGGTCAATCATAATTTCAACATCTTTATTGCAATAATGAATAAAATATTCTAATCTATTCTTAAAGTTTTTAGCATCATTGAGATATATTTGATAATCACTATCTGATATAGTTTCTTGAGTTAATGCTGAATAAAATGAATCTTTCGTGAATGGTTCCACTTTATATAATTCTTCTTCGTAATTTTCCCACGTGATGAATTGATAAGGGAAAAAGGATTTAACACGTGATTTATTGTTTCCGAAATCTTGAGTGAATTGGTCTAATGTCCCACCCGCTATATAATTTCTGATGTCAATAAATCTCAATTCATATGGAACGTTTGTTTTCTTTACAATGATTTGCTTAAATTGAGAAGAAGAACCCAGCATTGATTTTATTTTCCATTTTGCAGTATTTAAATCACGAAGAATTAAATTTAAATCAAACTTTCCTGAATTAAAACCAATGATATTCACTTTATTGAATTCCTCATCTAGAAGTTCTTTAAATGCTTCCTTCTGTTTTTCATTTAATGTATGAGACAAAGTCCCCGCCGTTTGGTCCGTTTGCGACTTCATTAATTCTTCATATTGTTCAATATTTGATTTAGCAACTAATGAACAGGTTGAAAATAAAAACTCAATCCAATCAGAAATAAAAGAATCACTCGAAGTTAAGCAAAAATTCCTCGTATATGTTTTATCATTTAATTTAACCGTTGATGATACCATGAATGGTTTTAAGTAAGCGTTCAAAGTTGCACACTCAGAAAGTTGTAATTCTTCTTTAGTCTCTAATGTTTCGAAGTCAAAAGTAATATAATATCTTGTCGGTTTATAATATTCCTGCAAATTATGTGCTAATAGCCATTGATATATCTTCTGTTTCGTGATATGTGGTGTATATGGTTGTTGTGTGTTTTGCAATTGAACGTCTTGAATTAATCTTCCATTATTTTCTTTACATTTCTCACAATGTTTTAAAAATCTTCTTTGGTTTTTCCTTTCTGGATCATCACGGATAGAATATACTTCTTCTTTGCAAAAGGGGCAAACTTTATATCCTGTGAGTGCTTCAACGTCTGTAATTCTGTCAGCGTGAAGTTTTCCACATGGACTCTGTGTTAATAAAATATTTACTGTTTCAAATTCTGGATCTATCATTATTGATTCCACTAATGGAAAGTCTACCTTGTTAATGTCTACGTCTTCTGGTTGAGGGTCACAATAATAAAAATCAATATTAACGTTTAACATTCTTGCTAACCTCTCACTTTCTGATGAAATGTCAAATCCTTCATATGCATCTATGGCTTCATTTAAATAACTTCTACGAGTTTTAGGATTAACACCATCAGGAATGTTATAGAAGCGTTTAAATAACCTTCTACCTTCGGCTCTTATTTGATTATCATTCATTTTAGCTGTTCCATTTTTATTCATTTATGTAAGAATAAAAATTAAAAAATAAATAAAAATAAAGTTTATTTTTTTTAAAGTCCGAGACTCAGAGAGTCCAGGGCTAAAGCCCATAAAATGAATTAAGAACACATAAATTTTTATCATCTGCGACGTGACGAATACATTTTAATTTACTCAAGAATGCGTACCCTGATACATTAAATCTAATTCCTGTCTTATTTAATTTCACAACTTTGAAAAGGAATGTATGAATAGCTATAAAATGATGAGAAGATGTTTTATGGGTTGCTTCCATTTTTTCTGAAATAAATGAATAAATATAATGTTTATAAGTTTTCATATCTTTTATGTTCTTAATAACGAATGGTATAGACCTTTCAACTTCGTCTTCCTTCGGTGCTGTTCTTTCATATGAAACATTATTGGTATCTTCAATAATGAAACCACAATCGCATAAAATTTTATATGTACCAATTGTTTCTTTTGATATTTTATCTAACAAATCAAAAACTTTATCAACACCTGTACATTTATTTAAATAATAATTTGTGTAAATATCATGATCTTCTTTCTTAATCGTATTAGTTGCATATGTTACATTTTTCAGTGCTTTTTTTGAATTTTTCAGAATCAAGAGGAGGTGAAAGTAATATACATGGATAATCTCCATCGTCAATAAACTGAAGCTTATGTTTATGAATAAATTTTGTGCCTTCTTCTGAAAGTGTTTCGTCAATATCACCATCTAATAAATTTTTAGTAGATTCCAAAAAGTAATTTTTATATCTTTCCTCATGTGATTTTTGAACTTCTGATTCTGAAGCTGGGATATTCATTAAACCCTCTACTTCATTCTCAGCATTTCTCAATTCCTTAATTTTTTCATCTATTTCATTTCTTAATTGTTCCAATTTCTCAATCTCATCGTTATAATATTCATCTTGTTTAATTTTTTCTTCAAAATATTCAGGAGGTGTTTCAAGGCTCTCTGAGCCCAGGTCCTCTGGACCATAAAGAGGAATATTCTTCTGTTTTTCAACTTTTTTGGGATATAAATATCTCATTATAGCCTTTTTAGTAATTGGCCCGTTATATTTAAATTCATTCAACAATCTGGAAAACTCTTTCACATTCTGCATATATGTTGGATAAGAACCGTCTCCAAAATTTTCTAAAATATTTTCTAATTCTGAATTAGTGAACTTTAAAGATTTCAATGAATTAGTTGTTATACTCATTTATTATAAAATAAAAAAATAAATTTAACTTAGTTTTAATTTTACGTAAGAAGTCAATTTTTTAAATCTTGATTTATTCAAAAACGTAAGAATAAAAACCGTAAGAATCATACATTTTTTACTTCATATGTTAAAAAAAATGATACAAAATCGTTCAATATTGTATGAATTCTTACGTTTACAAAAAAAGTCACACAACCCTTCAACATATACTACTATTAATGCGAAGAAAACAAATAAAAAGTGATATCAAACAAAAACCATGCTATCGTAAATGCATAAAACCAATATAACAAATTATGGATAAAATTGAAAACTGTTGCACTCGTTCAATTTTGATAACTCCTTACAAAGTCACTTTTCTTAAAATCTAGATTTTAGCTTAGAATTTGAGCAATTACGAATATCAAGGGACCACACTTGTTGGGATCCCACAAAATCTCCAGACATGTATTATAGAAACATATGTTACAGGTTTAGGGGAGTTTTTCGCTCAAAATTCTAAAACTACACTTAAAAAATTCGTATTTTTATCACCAAGCTCCCTTACAAAGTTAACAGGCTATGCATTTTCTGATTTACCAAACCTTCAATCGATTGATTTTACAAATTGCTCTAAATTAACCGAAGTTAATTCGCATATTTTCCTAAATTCCATCAATTTGCGGAATGTTATATTTCCTGACTGCCTTATCTTTTTTGATACAGATGTTTTTATACTTACTTCTCTTGAATCTTTTAAAATTCCAAGAAATCTTTATAGAACTGGATCTAGGTCGTTTGCTAACCTCACAACTTTAAGAAGAGTTGATTTTAGTGATGCTACGAGTTTGGAATGGATATATTATGATTGTTTTTCTGGGTGCACAGCAATTGAAGAAATTGATTTAAGAAACTGTGTCTCTTTGAATAGAATCTCGCCTAACGCATTCTATGGATGTACTAGATTGACTACTGTTTACCTTCCTCCGCATGTTTCTTCATTACAAATTGAAGAAAATGGTTTTTTTAAATTGTACCAGTCTCTCTAAGATTATCCCGATTAAACCTGGCCTTGTTAAGTTCAATGTTACTTCATTCAACGGATGTACACAGTTATCAGGCTATTTTGGTATCTTAATTACTTGTAATTACAGAACTCCATTTAATTTGTTTCAAAGTCTTTTTCCTATAATCATATTTCTTGGATTTTAGTAAACATACCATTTAAAATTTAGTCTGTTGAAAATTCAAAATTTATTGAGTTTAATTTTCAGTTCTTTATTGTGATGAAGCTAAAAATGTATATTAGTGATCTATGGCTTCTTGTACTTTGATAAAATTCAAAAAAGAAATACAAATTAGGAATTGTATAAAAGTTAATTCATAAATTTTATTCTAAATGTCCTCACACGATTTAATTTGATTAGACAATTAGATCGTCTAATCTAACAGGTGAAAATTCACTTAAAAATTGAGATTTTTAAAATCAACTCTGATTTTTATGAAGATAGTTATTTCGGTCAAGGGAAACTTCTATGGTAACAATTAAATCCCTAGCAGATGTATTTCAGCCCTGTAGATAAAAATAATTAAATTAAAACCGTAAGTTTTTATAATGCGGATTCTTGTTGAGCTTTTTCGTATTCTTCCCATGTGGCATGTAATTTGGCTGATTGGTATCTCTCAATCCTGGCTTTGGAATATTCGGAAGGTCCAAACTCACGAGGATATCCTGCCTTTCTTGCGAGAGAGCGAAGTGCCTCTTCCTTTGTCCATCCTTGCTCGGATGCAACTTCTGGAAGGTATGTAGCGGAATATCCGTCAATAAAAAGACGAATTCCGTGTTTTCCAACTGTCCAATCTAGAACATCATTGCCAGGTTCAAAAGAGTGTAGTAAGCTTATACCACAATCGAGTTTTGGAAGTTCATCCTTTATAATTGGAGAAAATCTTCTGTCTTGAGTACCGGCAATAACAGCATATTCTTGTAAGCCATCCCAAAGAGGGATTTCTTTGAAAATACCAATGCATCCACGAAGGTTGCCATTCTTTTTCCAAGTTACAAACATTGGGCATTCTCTGTTATCTGTTTCTGGTGCTTGTTTTCTGAAAATATTCTTATGACATCCTGTGACTTTGTTTTCGAGTGCCTCGAAGCAAACGAAACACATCAATTTCGTCGCCTCCATTTTTTATCGATGATTTCACTTCACTTTAAAAACCATGAAGCATCATTAGAAAGCTATTCTCTGATGATGTTCCTTTTTTAATACTCCGATAGCTACGCTTTCTACAGCATGTGCACATGGTTGGTATTATTCAATCAATTGCCCATACTGTTAGAAAAAATAAAATAAAAATATTTGCACTGCCCGGGAATCGAACCCGGATCAAAAGCTTGGAAGGCTCTCATGATAACCACTACACTAGCAGTGCTTTACATAAAAGATGATTTATGATCGTTTATAATAATATGGAATGACTTTTTCAATGAAGAACTCGTTGGCAAATTTGCCATCAGATACTATGACGGAAATTTTCTTATTGAATATTGAAGTCGTGAGATATTCTAATTCATTTTTCCTAGAATCAAGTCTAAATTTGGTGTTTTCAAATTTTGCTTGAAAATCTTTGGATATTTTTGAATCATTTTGTGTTTATTTAACTTATTATCATATATTTTCAAATTTAGGATTATCTAAATTTAATTTTGCCTAAATTTTTAACGTTATTGAATGGCAAAATTCGTTACAAAAATTTTGATGATAATTCAAAGTATATGAATAATATTCCAGATTAGTCTAAGTTGATTTCAAGGTCATTTTGAAAAATTAATGGCAAACTTCTTTTTGATTGAAAAATTACGAGAAAAAGTTAAGAAGTAATAGAAAATTCTATTTTAAAATATCAAACAAACAACACCATTAATAAGAAAAACATGAACTCGCTTAATTTGCTTCAGAATCCGAATCTTCATTGATCTGATTCTTCATTTTTTGTAAAATTTTCTCAATGCATGGTGGGTGGTGGAGTGGTCTAACCACATAATTCTGATTTGATGGTTTTTTGTGGATTGGGAATTGAACATTTGGAGGGATTGTAAGTTTTGCAATGCGATTTGGCTTTTTCGGCTTTGTTTCAATGATGTTATAGATGTTTGGCTTAAGCATCTGGCCATGGATGTCAGTTGGAATTACAAACATAGTTGTCGAATGAGATGAAAATCATTCCTCTCAAAAATTCTATGAATCTAAATTCTTCTAACAGGCCAATGTTATCAATTTTTATGTGTGTAATGGTCGTGAACGATCACTTGGATAATAATTAAGAATATATTCTGGAATATTATTAACCCAAAATTTACCATTGCCAACTTTTCTCTCAATTTTTGAGGGACTATCGTTATGAAGATTTCCTCTCAATTACAATTCCCGTTACATCGAGTCTCATCGAGGAAATCAGACAACTTTTGATGTAATGTATAATATAAGTGTGAACATCATCAAATACGAACGAAGTTGTTAATAAAATCTTTCAGTAATATCCAAATCACTTGTATCTAAAAAAAGGAATTAATAAATTGTTTATATATTTGATCTAATTCTAATCTGGAACGTTCAGAATTATTATCGATGATGAGATTTAGTTAATAACAATAAAATATCAAATTGAATGAAACACACATACATAGTAAAATCAATTTTTATTAGCCATTTTGTTTATATTAAAGTTATATGTATAAAATTTTATCATTTTTTGACAAAGGACAGGTTTTGAGAAGAATTTAAGATAAGTACGAGTTAATTATTTTCTTATAAAGAAGCTGGCATAGGATGTTTGCTGCTATCTTAGTTATTAAGCTCATAAAAATATAAATTTTTGAGTAAGATCGGTAAAAACAAAGAAATTGGATTATAAATGGGTATCTGTGATGAAATGAATCTTGTTTTGCCGTGTTCTCGGCAAATAATTCGAACAGAATTCATAATAAGCTTCTTTGAGTTAATTTCATCATGAAATAGGTAATTGTAGTGTATATCTTGTTAATCTACTAGATTTCAAGTTGATATTGAATTTAAAATTTAAATCTAGGTCTTTGGTCTAAATTATCATAGCGAACTTTTGCAGGTTGTTGAGGTTCTTGTGGTACTTCTTTAATGGCACGTGGATTTCTTCTGTTTAATGTATCAGCATCAAAAGAAGTGGATTTTGAAAGTGGTTTGATTGTTTTTGTTTGTTTCAACTCGATCCTACTTTGATTCATTGCGCGTTTTTGATTGATTGCTGTCAACTTAACAGGTTCTGGAAGTGTTTTTGCCATTGGCTTTGCTGCTGGCGGCTTACTTTGCAATGACATATATTCTTCTTGTAATTTATTGATTTCTTCGGTAGATCTAAGCCTAAACTCGTCAATAACCGATTTTTGGAGCTCGAATAATTTGTTCTTTTCTTCTTCAGATAGGCTTTTGTATTTTTCAGGAGTAGCTAGTTCTGTCAATCCATGTTTTGCCATGATTTCCTTTAGTAATGGACTCAATGATGCCATGGAAAATTAATGACGATTATTGTAAAATTGTAATCACAACAATAATCTTTGAACTAAAGTCGGGCTTTTGAATTATGGTATATATCTTATTTAGCTCATGGTGCTACAACTCTGCAAAGTATAACATTCAAAAATCAATTATGATCGGAAAATATAATATTATTTTTGTGTTTGGCTATAAATTTTAATTAACTCACCTCCAAAATTGTTTTAATAAGTATCTCAAGTCATATTTTGCTTATTGGTGTTTCATTGTCATATCTTTTAGCTAAATTGAGATTGTTGATTATGTTAGCATAACTGAATCTGAACTCTAACAAAATATCTTTATATTTTATATTTGAACTTCCGTTTAATTTCTCTGATAGTGAAAATATCAGGAGATCTCTTACAAATCCATAGAATATTGTTTCTTGTAATACTTTGATTGATGTTTTAGAAAGTATTTTCATACTATTTGAGTAGATGTCTATATGTACAGAATAAAAACAAGCAAAATCCAAAATAAAATAATGAAATTCAAATTAATTGCAAGAAATTTTATTGAAATATAAATAATATAGTAAAATAATTGAATTTATATAACGTTTGTAATCCCAAAATTTTGATATTTATCATATTTTCTTAATAAATCTTTAATTTTAGCAATAATTTTTTATTTTTTAGCATTTTCTGGGATTTTATAAAATTGATATTAGACAGTAATCATGAATAGTGCTCAATCTTTACAATAAACGCTTTAAGATTATCATGTATAAAAAGATAAATTTTGTTTCTTTATTGAGAATTTCATTTGATTCATTATAAAAAAACTTGATAGAAAGGAAAAGATGACAAGATTATCAATATTTTGCCAAAGAAAGACCGTTTAATATATCAGCCTCTTTGAAAATTCTCCAAATTTAAGAATTATTTATATTTAGATACTTCATTCAAGGTGTATGTGTAATATTTGATGCATTTTTGCGAAATATACATTGGGTACATTAATATATGATAGAAAAATATTTAACTTTGTTTAGTCAGAGAAAATTTTAAAATTAATTTTGTTTTATTAGCTCATAAAAATAAATTATATGTCTGCAAAAAATGTATTTAGTTTAATATAATCTCAAGAAAGCCTTTGAGTGATTGAGGAAGAAGAAGCAAGGCTTGCGACCGGAAAATGCGTAGCCAGGAATACTCTGGCAGAGGATGCCATGGACAATATCAGCGCGGCCAGCTGTAAGAACATAAATGTAAACCATGAATGATAATGCTTGAACTCGATCAGGAAGGAGGAATATCCAAATCAAGTAGGTTACAAATGTCCAGCAGTACTGTGGGCATGTAACACGTTCCCATCCCCACTTATTTGTAGCATACATCGAAATATCATAGCTTCTCTCGGTTCTTGATCTGCAGATATGCCAATCATGCATGATAAGGTAAATAAAACTCATTGCAAATAATGCCAAAATAACATATTGTTGAATAATGTATCTGGAATCGTGAAGGTTAACATTTGGAACAACAGCGAGGATTCTTGATGCACAAAGACCAATATGGAAGCTAATGGCTGAGTAAAAGCCAACTGTGACTCTTGGAATTTCGGTTGCATATTTGTTACGGAAAAATGGATAAATGAAGGCGCGGTAGCATGTCATTGCAAGGAAAGCGAGAGAAGGTATGGATAGGATGTCTCCACTTGGATAGAAGAATTGTACGTACGTAAACACAAGTGGACAAGGAACGTGGGACAAAAAGACGCCTAATTTAGCCGGAAATGTCTTGAAACGTAGTTTGGACATGCCTTTGACTTTTCTGACTTGTTGCTTGCTTTTTGCTTTTTCAGCAAGTTTGCTCTTTGATTTCATATGAGTTTCTTGCTTTTGTTCTGCTTCAGGAGCACCGGGATCTTCAGTATGGAGAGCTCTTCTCATATTGAAGTATAATTGTCCGAATGGGAACCAATTGTGAAGTGGTAAAAAGATTAAAACAGCAGAATTTAAGAGGTGGATGCATAAGAAATTGTTAAAATTCTTTTCATCTCGAAGGGCATGAAGAAAATGATAAATACCGGGGATTTGAAAAAGCCAATCCATTTTTATTCGAATTTTTGGATTTGAGAGATAATTAATCGTTTTTTGACATCAAGTTATCCTGTAATCATCATGGATTTTCTGATATTTCTGAAATTAAATCGCATAGATTAAATAAGATTCGTTGACACAAAAAAAAAAAAAAAAAAAAAAAAAAGGTAGTGGGGCTTCCAGGCACTTCGTGCCCTCTAGCCCCGAAGATGTTTAGTATAAATGAAGTTCTTATATACGGGTCTTCCAGGAGCTTTTCACAAATTATATATGTTTTCATGTTTTGTCACTTTTCTGTCACTTTTCAGGAAAAAACATTTTTATTATTATATATAAATGAATTTTACAAAACCACCGTTACCGTTCTTTGGAAATAAGAGTAAATGTAAAGATATTATATTGAGAGAACTTAAGAAACTACCGAATGGTCTAACATTTGTAGATTTGTTCGGTGGAAGTTTCTATATATCCCATTTGTGCCATACCGTATTCCCAGACTCAAAGATTATATGCAATGACTTCGACAACTATATGAACCGTCTCAAACATATTCCAGACACAAACAATATATTGAAAGAGTTAAAAGAAAAGATACCTATAGGTAAGATGGAACGTATACCATTAGATAAGAAAAATATTGTGAGAGAGGTTTTGAAAAAAGCAGAATATATAGACTGGGATAGTATATCTGCTAGACTATTATATAGTGGTGCTATAAGAGTTCATGACATTGAAACACTTATGTCAAAAGTTTTATATCTTAACTATACAAATGTTTTCAAAGAGGACATAGAAAAATATATTGAGGGTATAGAGTTTGTGAGATGTCATTGGACAGAGTTGTATGAAAAATATAAAGACAAGGAAAATGTTTTCTTTATAGTGGACCCACCGTTCTATAACACATGGGATTTTCAATACCAAGTAGACTGGACTTTGAGAGACTCTTTAGAAACTTTAGACGTTTTACATAACCATCCATGCTTTTACTTTACATCCGATAAAAGTGGTTTGGAAACCGTTATGAGATGGTTAGAGGACATACATGACTATGAGTTTATATATGACAAGATAGAATATGAGAGAGGTCCTATAAACTGGAGAAAGTGTCACAATAAAGAAATTTTATTAATAAGTAAATGTGGTTTGAAATAGGACTACTTGTTTTAGGTTTTTTCCATTGTGTCATTTATTTATTTGACGTGGCAGAAAAGTACAGAGAATATGAAGATGAACCAATGCCTGCAAATGTTCAGTATATGTACTCGTAAGAGATATTTTTATCTAATATTAAATGGACGCACAGAACTTAGCGAATGCACAGCAACCTGGACAACCAAACCCAGAGAATATTCCAAATGAAGTTAGAATACAAACTGCAATGGCAAACTATGGTCAAGTGCCAACAGATGTACAAATGCAAACTGCCATGTCAAATGACGCTGCGTTAGGTTTGCCACCATGGTATGCAAATATGAGATGGAAAGAGTTTTATACAAACCCTGAAGTGGGATATAAACAACTTTATGCAGATGACGCGAACACAGGAGTTGACCCAGAATATGTTTTCTACCAGAGGAGAAACAGAATGTATGAGCTCCAGTTAAAGAATGCTATGGAACTCAACAGGAAACGTAAGAGACTAGGCGGACATTAGATTTTTACATATAGTAAAATGGGTTTCTTCAGTAAGATAGGAAACTTCTTTCGAAATGTTGGAAGAGGTATATGGAATGGAATAAAAACCGTAGGAAGAGGAATTTGGAACGGTGTCAAAAATATTGGTAAAAGGGTAGGTCAGTTTGTTGGTATTATACCTAAAGACCCTGAACCAGAAGAACAAGCTCCTGTTATACAACAGCCTGAACCTGCACCACAGTCTAGTTGGCAACCAAATCCAACACCTCAACCGTATTAAAAAATTATATTTTTACCGTTCGATAGTAGTTGTATATGAAACTAAGTTCTAAGTAAAACGCATGGTATAATGGAATTATTCTTTTTCTTCCATCTGTAGTAAACCATACTTGAAAGTCTGAAATACTTCCACTTGGTGGTTCGTATAACTTTGTAGGTTTTTCGTAAAAGTCATTTGCCAAGCATAAGAAAGAGTTTTGGGCGCCAGAAAATGAAGCATGAACAATAATAGCAGCTGGGTCGAAAACATCTTTAAATAAATATGGTTCATCTCTTGCATATCGACTGTAAATATTTGCTAAAGGAAGTTCGACTTTCTGATTTAACATTCTTTGCAAATAATACCATGACATTGCAGTGAATTCTGTATATATTTGTTCGTCTTTCTTTGGATTGTCTTCGTAGATTTGAAATGACACTTGTGAATTTTGTTTGTCATATACAATTCTCACATAAAGTGTGCTCTCGGTATTTGCATATTCATCAGCATATTTTGCATAACATGAATTTATTTTATCTTCTATATTTTTAACGCAGTCTGTAGAGAAGATGAAAGGTCAACTTGTATTAGCTCAATTTCTTCCCACATTTTTCGTTTCCCTTCAGATATATAATCTATATGAAACCTTACAATAAATGGAAAACTTTTATCTTCTACAGACACAAACTTCATTCTACGAAAGCCAATAGCTTTTGTGACAGATGGGTCTCTTAGCCATCTTAATGGGTAGTCAAAACGATAGCCTTCATGCTTTACGGTCTCTGTCTCAAACTTTTGACCGACATTAGTAAAAAGTTCATCTAATGGTTTAGTTGTAGCAACTCTTGAATTTTTTTTTCTATTGGAAGCATATTTTATCTAGAATAAAAATGTCAAATGAAACAGCGTCTATGAGAGAAATACAACACAACCGACAACTCATTATACAAGCTCTAAATAAGAACACAACAAACTTTTCAAACTATTCTAAGATATCTGAGTCATTGAAAGAAGGAAACTTAAAACTGACATTAAACCCAATGACAGATGAGTTTCTGTTTCAAGACAATAAGAACCATACTGTCTGTATAAATCCAACAAAAGGAACTTTAAACGAGAAACCTATAAATGAACTTCTTTTGAAAGCAGATGTTGGCAACAAAGCTGACAAAGAATATGTAGACGATGCAATAGCAAAAGAAGAAGAAAGAGCTAACAAAGCTTATGCAACAAAAGAACATACTCATCCTGAACTAGCAGACAAAACATATGTTGACAATAAAATGTCAAGTGAAGTGACAAGAGCTGAAAACGAATATTCTAAAAAGACTCATACACATTCTATATCTGAAATAACAAACTTACAAGAAACCTTAAACAGGAAAAGTGACGTTGGACATACACATACCATTGCAAATATTGCAAACTTACAAGAAACCTTAAACAGGAAAAGTGACGTTGGACATACACATACCATTGCAAATATTGCAAACTTACAAGAAACCTTAAACAGGAAAGTGACGTTGGACATACACATACCATTGCAAATATTGCAAACTTACAAGAAACCTTAAACAGGAAAAGTGACGTTGGAATACACATACATCTTCTGAAATAACAGACTTAACGTTAGCCTTGAAAATAAAGCAGATAAAACATATGTCAATGAAATATACCAAAGTTTGCTAGGAACAAAAAATATTGAAACTATTGTTGGTGACTTTTCTGTCAATGAAGAAAACAAATATTTTAGATGGCAGTTGGTACAGTCCTTAGAAAATGGTACACGGTATAAACTCATTCCGAAAAATAACAATGAAATGTATGTAAGCTATAAAAAGAACGATGGTACACAAGTTAAAGTTCCATTAGACAACAACTGCTACTTAAACTTATATGGAGACGAACAAAAGAAATATTTAAGAGTTTATGAAATGACAGATATGACATTGCCTGACCCAGCTCCAGCACCATATTATTATGACTATGGAGATGACGTCAGAACACCACATGTAGATGAACAAAAGCTAACATTATATTTAGATTATTATAGATATAAAGATATAATGCAATAGAAAAAACGAGAATAGTATACTATTATACAGATGACAGAAATAAATATTATAGTCAAGACTTTACCTACCCTGAAAACATAAGATTATATTATAAAAAATATTCTGACACAAACCAGAAGAAACCTGAAATAGTTGCACTATATTTTAAGTTCAAAAGAGACAATCCTGTAATGTCTCATATGTTTGATTTAATGAACCCAGTAGGTTCTATTTATACATCTATGGAAGCAAGAGGTCCTCAAGTAATGTTTGGTGTTGGTGCATGGGAACAAATAGTCGACAGGTTTTTGTATTGTGCAACTCTTCAAAGGAAACAGGTGGAAGTAAAACGATTTCAGGTGAAAATTTACCTGCACACAGTCACTACATAGATTTAAGTACATCTCAAGCAGGTTGGCAAAGTAGATATTGGGATTGGTCAGGAATGACAAAAGGTAAAGGATATGATGTTAAAGACGACGTTAAGTTTGCTATAAATTGTTACTGGAGTGACACTCAGGGAGAAGGAAACCATACACATTTCGTTTCAGGATATACGCAAACAACGGGACAAAGTAAAGAATATATGCCACCTTACATGACAGTTTACGCATGGTATAGAATTGCTTAGTCGTCATTTTCAACTTCTTTAGCATATTCGTCAGGAGTTGTCTTATATTTTGAACTGTCTTTGTATACCACCTTGAACTTTGACAAGTTTGAAACGAGGTCTGAAATAGTAGTTTTATCTTCTCTTGCAGTGTGTACATTTTGCCATGTTTGCCTAAAACTTCATAATATTCTTTGTATATTTCTTCTATTTTTACGAACACGAATGTGAGTACCTGTCGGGTTCCCATTGTTGTCATAGTCAATAGTATTTTCATATGTGGTCGCGTTTAGGTATTTCTATTTTTACTTTGTCACCTTTCTTAAGTTTGAAGCCTGGCATTCTTTCTTGTTTGTCTCTTTTGACTAAACTATTAAATATATAGTCTTTCTCTAAGTCAGGGTTGTTTTTCATTTCTTCGGGAGAGTGGTTTCCCAAACCTTTTTGTTTA